ATAAACACCCAGAAAAGTACTTGCGTACTCTTCTCCAACAAACGAGGGGTAATGCCACTACCAAATATTGCGATCAAGGGAGACCAACACTCTGTGAGCAGCGAGCATAAATTCCTAGGAACCACTTTAGATTCTAAGCTCACGTTTATTCCCCATATTAAACATGTAAAAATGAAATGTCTGAAAGCGATGAACCTCCTAAAGCTCCTATCATGTACAACATGGGGTAGTGATCGGAAGTGTCTCGTGAACTTGTACAAAAGCCTTGTTTGGTCGCGCCTTGATTATGCCTCTATAATTTATCATTCCGCAACGCCAAGTGCTTTGAAAATCCTAGACCCCGTTCACCATCTGGGTATCCGACTGGCAACCGGTGCTTTCAGGACAAGTCCGATCCAGAGTCTTTATGTAGAGTCGAATCAGTGGTCACTTCACCTACAGCGATCCTATAGCAGTTTCACTTATTTTATAAAGGTACGTGCAAACATAAAGCATCCTTCTTATTCAGCTATAAACGATATGACCGCTGCCACCCTCTACCATAATCGACCCGCAGCGAGAAAGCCGTTCTCCTTGCGTGTGAGAAGTTTAAGTGAGGAAATGGGTGTTCCGCTACTAGAACTTTGTCCTATGCCCGCAACAAAACATTTACCGCCGTGGCAGTGGCAGCTCATACATTGTGATACTTTCTTTGCCGAGATCACTAAACATGCACCAGAAGCACATATTAAAATGCATTTTTGACAACTCCAGTCCAACTACTCATGCATAGAGTTTTATACTCCCGCTTCTAAGTCGCATGCAGGGGTGGCTTATGCAGCCGTCGGACCATCCTTCTCGGAATCTGGTGTGCTGCACCCGGAAACAAGTATATTTACGGCTGAGGGTTATGCACTATTGTCGGCTGTGAAGCATATACGGAAATCAAACGTACAAAAATCAATTATATTCACAGGCTCGTTAAGCGTCGTAAATGCATTAAGATCCCTTTTCAGATTCAGAAATCCGGTAATAATTGAGCTGTATTCCGTTTTGTGTACAGCGTATATGTCCAACCAGCATGTTACTATTTGCTGGGTTCCTGGCCATAGAAGCATCGAGGGCAATGTGTTAGCTCACCAAATGGCCACGTCAATTATATTGCGCGCTATTAACCCCACAGCTACTGTCTCTGCAACAGATCTAAAACCCTTCCTACGTAAGAAACTGCAAAACCACTGGCAACGCTTGTGGGACACAGAAATAAATAATAAGCTTCACTTGATTAAGCCGCGGTTGGGTTACTGGCCCTCCGCTACAAGAACACGGCGCACTGATGTCCTATTCTGTCGGCTCAGAATAGGCCACACTTATGGTACCCATAGCTTTCTGCTGACTGGCGATGAACCGCCTACTTGTGGTAGATGTGGTGAGAGGCTAACCGTCCTCCACGTCCTCCTGGAGTGTCCGGAAGCTGAAAGTGAGAGAAAGAAATATTTTGCTTTAGCATACCGCTATAATCTTCCTTTACATCCGAATATGTTTCTCGGTGAAGAACCGCTTTTTGATGCAAAATCAGTTTTAAGCTTTTTAAAGGATGTAGTATTGAATGTTTTTAGCCCAACATTGAGTGTTTTTAGCCTAACAGGTTCATAGCGCATCCTCTGTTCAGAGGATGCCGCTGTGATAGCAGCTTTCAATGAGCCCAGGCCTCCATGCTCTTGTTTTAAGGGCTCTGTCGAGGCACTGGTGCTCCATGCCAAGTTTTTATTTCACATACATATCACTTTTAAACCATTTTATGTCTCCATGGCACACATCGTTTGTCATTGCTATAATTTTACTTTATATTTTTACGCACCTACAGCGACTGTTTTTTAGGCCTATTTACAGCCACGTCACATCTGTTTTATCTACACTGCACATTGCACAGTTCATTATCATCGCTCTGGTGCTCCTTGGCCACATCTGGCCCTTGCGCCAATAAACTCCACTAATCATCATATTTGTAGAAGCAACAAGCCACCATTTTGGCCCACCAAAGCAGCTGCTCATCCAGCTTCTGAAATGGACCGTCATAGCTTCTCTTCCTTTGTTGCTTTCCTCTGTGGCTCAGATGCATGATACTTGCACCACTAATGGGTGAAAAAATTAAAGCAGAAATTATCTTTCCAGTTGTTGGCTTTCTGAAACACTTCCCTCTAACTACGAAGAGCATAATGCTTCTTACTTAATTTTCACACACCACAAGCCTGAACTAGGGATAAAGCACATATTAATAAAACGAGTAACAGCATGGACAGCATCTCATGACAAAAACAGACTGAACGCTTACTTTAAACCAATGCTTCAGGTTGCATTGACTTTTTCCCAACGCAATTTATAAGATCCCTCTCTGCTGCAGTCATTGCTACATCGGCTAAACTGACCGATTTGTAAATTACTGCCTGGGAGACCATTGCGATTTAATGAAGGTTTCCTTTGGGCGCAACTTAGCCATATACTGTTAAATATGTGGCTGTCATCCATTATTTTATTGCAGAATACTAAATTGCTATGGCGACCAGCGAGTATGTGAAATGTACGAGGCTCCTTGCTTTGGGGGAAAAAAAACATACATCTGCGAGTCTGCTTTTGATAGCGCTCTCCAACAAGAAACTTGCATATCTTTCACATGGATCATGGGATTTTTTTTTTTTTCAATCGCTTTTGCAGACTTTATAATGCAGATACCTTGTCATGTGTTTTCATTTTTTTTATTAAAATTTTTTTGTCCTTCATAGCTTTTCATGCTCCTGTGCATAGAACCCCAGGTGGTCGAAATTTCCGGAGCCCTCCACTACGGCGTCTCTCATAATCATATAGTGGTTTTGGGACGTTAAACCCCACATATCAATCAATCAATCATGCTCCTGTGCATATTTATTTATTCATACTGTCGATGCCATCCGGCATCTTTACAGGAAGGGCATATTGAGTTGTTACAATATGACAATACAAATATCAAATATTCAATTATACATAAAAAAATATTGGCGGTTAACAAAGGCAGACGAGAAGACATAATAGTACATCATAATAATAGTACATCCTAATACGTAAAAAAAGGGGTGATCAAAGAGGCGTATAATGGCAAAACTGAAGTAAAAAATACATTTATGTAAAAATGGTGTAAATAAACGAAGTAACAGTATGTAGGATAGACGAAATTATGCGTACAGTGTAACAGCAAAAAAAAGTGAACAAAGAGGCCTACAAAGGGAAAACAGGAGCAAAAAATGCACTGATGTAAAAAAAAAGTTATACAGAAGTAAGGATGATACAGGAGGCTCATAACTGGGCAGCATGTAGCTGATCTTCAAGCAATGTTAAAAGGAAGATAACATCGCGCTTGTTGTTACGCTAGGATCCAGCCTGTTTCATTTACGTGTCATTAAAGGAAAAAATGAATATTTATGCTTTGAACATATAAATTGCTTTGTGCGCGCTGAAGCATTGGTTCTAAGCCGGTGCTTAGTCTGTTTTTTTTTGTCTCATTGTTTGTACTGTTAGTTGTTTTCTTCAAGCATGTACTAGCCAGCCCAACTATGCACTTTAGTACTTATAAAGCAATGGAATACAAGAATTATGGGGTGTTGTACAAGAAGCACCAAGTGTAACCTACATGCAACCTACATTTAGACGGATGTTTTTCATTCACTGCCATAGCAATGAGGGGCACTGGCTCACATTCCCAATGCTGCATGTTATGCAAGTGCACAAATACTTTCAAAGATGGATAAAAAAGCAACTTTCACCGTAGCTTGTATGGTAGAGTATTGTACAGTTTAGTACAATATCGTGGAGCGCGGTGAGTGTGGAAGATGTGCACCTGCAACAAGTTCTTTTGTGGTTTGGTACTTTCACTTAGTGACTATATCATTTTTTTTAAATACTGTAGATAATTTTTCTTATAGTTCACCTGTTGAAATTATGCGAGCTTTCCTAAAAGCTGCCCATGATTGAACCGTCCTGTGGGGCCACCATTGTTGGCTTTTGTAAGTTAAAGTGGAATATTTTTAGAAAGTTGTTTTACAAGTATTTTGATTACGTCGTATGGCACTTCTTTAGGCTGGGCAGCCTTGTGGAGTTCTCGCTCACAATATAAATTTTGCCTCTTTCATTTCAAAAGTTGCTTGTTATAGATTCTGTCAGTGTTGTCTTAGCTGCCACACAGTTTCCCAGAGCTGTCCAGGTCCCACCTTGTAGGTGTTGCGTGTTGCTTCACTAAGGGAGATGGGGACATCAGTCACTATTGCAGTAAATTAACGTTCAGCATTTCTAGTAAATTCACTGTCATGAGTGAAAGGTTGCCTCACTATAATCTGGCAGCTGCCGTCTGTAGTGCACACTCTAATAAAAGAGCGAGTAGAAAGGGTGTCTTTTTGTCCCACAACAATAATCGTCATCTATATTACGTTCCATCCTTGCTCTATTGCCCCGCGCCCGGTACATTCCGGTCACTATCGACATGCCCATTATCAGGGTTACATTGCATTCTCGATAGGAAAGTGACCAGTGCCAAGTTTTCAAGAAAGGAAGCGCACGCAAGCCTGATGACGAATATTGTTGTGGGCCAAAAAGACACCCTTTTTACTCGATATTTTTTTAGAGTGCACGCAAAGCACTCTTCAATGCTCCTGTTTTCCTGGGAGTTCACTGGGGGAATTAGATGCTGCATAGTGGTTGACCACAATTTCGGCATACTTTTCATAATTATCTACGGTACTTCCCTGGTTGTCGCCATCGTGTGGCATTAGCACGCTGTCCATGAGCAGAACTCGGGCTGAAAATGACTTGCTATGTTAATTACTGAACAGTTTTTGTATTGCAGCCTGTTATTTCTACAACCAGAGGGGGGGTCGTACAAGGGAAGGGAGGTGCACTTTTGATCACTGCTGTAAGATTTCTTGTACGTTCATCCCACTGTTTTGTCTGACCCTGTAAGCTAAAGATATCTTTACTGGTGCTCTTTGTTGCAGAGCTTGGTGACCTCCATGCTGGAAGGAGGTGACCGACAGAAAGCCATGAAGCGGTTACGTGTGCCTCCACTTGGTGATCAGGTGAGGAGGCTGGCTGACAGCGAGTTTACAAACGCGAGCGGATAGACCTCTCCCCCCTCCCCACAATGCACAGCGCCAGGCACCTTTACGAGGCTCTCGGAAGCTGTGCGCCCATTTGTTTGTCCGTGATGTAGTCGGCGAACATGCCATCGCCCATGACGATGCTGCAGGCAAAACTAAGTAAGCGCGCTGTGTTCACTGAGGCAATCTTGACCGTGAAAAACTCCTTCCGAATATTTTGAAAATGCGAAGAAATTTCGAGTGTACCGCAAAACTGCGAGCATGCCTCTATCGACGCTGCACTTCACTGCCGTCGGCAGTGTTGGTTCGTTTTCAACGACTACAAGGGAGCCAAGAAGTGTACAGTCGTATTCAGTGAAGATTAAGAAGACATCGAGATGCCGGTCTTGGTAAGTTCTTTTTTTCTTTGCAATTCTGAACAGAGCCATAAAATGCTTGTTTTTGAGACTGTTGGTGCAGTCAAGTTCGCAAACGATGCTCGGGCAGGCGCAACTTCAGTTACTACGCTACCCAACGAGAGCACGACTATTGCTGCTGTTGCACAGTGCCTTTAGTGCGCATAGACTTCAGTGAAAAAAATTAAACAACAAAAATAAATTTAAACCCACAGATTCAAGTGTTTGTGGAAAGCTATAAAATAGTAAAAAAGTACTCGCGCATTTATTGAGGCTTCACTGCAATACCAATTCGAAGGTGCCGTTGAGGTCAACGTACCGGCAGTCTTTAAATATCCCTGCTGGCTTGCCATTTTGACAAAAGAGAATGGCCCTCTGTGACTCGCTGCTGAGTTTCGCTATTCTTTCATCATTAGCACCAAGTCCCAAACCTCAATTCTTGGTACAGCTGTATTCTGTTTTTTGTCGAAGTTTTTTTCACTCTCTTTCTATACTTAGCTTCACCCTCTTTAGTTCCTCTGTCAGGCTGATCATCACTTCAACTCACAGTCATGTTGGCTGGTAAATATATTGCTTTGCAGGAGCATTTAAAAGTCTATTCATGAATGATTATTTCTTTTTTTTTTCTTTCCCCACTCCTGTAATGGCCTGATTTAGGCTGCAGTATGTAAAAATACACAAGTGGTGTGCACCCCTGGGATGCTTTTTAGGGCTGTGCATGTTGAGCTACATTATTTAAAGGCAGCTCTTCCATCTTTCCAGGAAGTCTGGACACATGCCTAATTACTGATTTTCGTCTCAATTAGCTTGCTTCACTAGCTCATTAACTTTGGAATGGCATGGAGCAGTAAACCTGAGTGAAATTCGCTGTTGGTTTGCCATTTATTCGGTTGATGACTCTGTAGATCTGGTTCTCTGTCTCTCACTGATACTGACTTTTTGTCTAACATCTTTTAGTTTAGAAGGAGATCAGACTGTTGGTATGCCTTTTTCTGCGTTTGCTGCTACCATCCTTTTAGAAGCCATAACCTTTCGATTTTTTAAATAATATATTTCAAAGTTCATGTGAATGACCTTTAACAGTGCAGAAAAGTATTTTGATTGTACCGTTTGTTGAGTCGGCTGCCTAAGCTTTACCTTAATAATCTGGCCCTCGTGGTATGATTGTACTTATCTTGTGTATTCTTTTATGCGGGATTATGTGAACTGCTTGATTAGATTCATGTACGTCCACGGGATGCTGTCATGACCACTCAAATGACAATGGTTATCATAAAGATAGAATTTTTTTAAATTAGTGTAGGTGGCACTGCGATCAATCCTGCTTGTGTCAGTTTTAGAGCTTCACTTTCTTCTCAAAGCTTGACAGCATGTACTGTTTTACACATCAGCTAGTGCGATTTCCAATATGGATTCTGCACCACCACCTTTCATTGAAGCTTCTGGGTGCTGTTAGTATGGTCGGTGCTTTTTTCTCTGTTGTCATGCCATTCACTTCCCCTTCGTTAAACGTGTAGCTGGGGTAACCAACCACACAAAGTTAGCAACTACTTGGCAGTCTTTCATCTCACTATTAGAGTATTGTGATTCATCTATATTAGCTTGAATGGTAGAGCAGGCTAGTAGACTACTATTAAGTATAGGATCACATCACATAATTTTTTAACAATGCAAACCTCCCTATGCTCTTATTCTTTAAGTTCAGTCATTGATTTAGCTGCTTGTGCAGCTGTCGGTTCTTGTACTCGATTTTATGCCATCTCTGTGACTGGCTCTATAATATTTATACACCTGAATGTGCAGACTTTTTCGCATGCAGCTGTCCTAAAACACAAGTAAAATGTCCAGGTCGCTGAAATCGGAATTTAAAACCATTTTGTTCTCTCCTCCCCCATTTACAGGCTGGCCCCCGAAGCAATGTAGATGAGTGACCAGAGCTGGAATGCTGCCGGTTACTGCTGCTCGATTCAGTGTGGACAAGTACTGCAATGAAGACAGCATCTGCCTTTGTGGACATTTTTTTGAGGCGTTTAGTACACATAATTTATCATTCTGCTCGACAAGAAACTGTTGTGCAACATAACCTTTGCTAACATTTGAAAATGTAAAATGAACCCATGAATTGCCAAAGCAAACCTCCTCCTATGGAGACTTCATATTTACTTTGAATAAAAAAGTGAGTGATTCTTAAGAGAGAGAAAGGAAGAGAAAAGTGAGCCCCGTTATTGTCTGCTTCAGTGAGCGACACCGCCACAGTAGCTCACAAGGGATGGGGGTGAGGAGAAAAAAAAATTGCAAGTACAGTTTGTAGTGCTCGATGTTTTCACTTTCACTTATCCTAAAACAAGCAAAATCGGTCCTGTTGATTCACAGTTACACCACAGTACTGTCTGTCATCAGAAGTGAAAGCAAAGACGAACCCACCTCAAATTTTCGAATGCTTGCTGTACATTCCACTGTGAAATTACCTTAATTTCTAGCACATTTATAATCCTTGAATTGAAATGCTTTTTATAGGAATAAAGACAACGCAACTTGTGATATGAATTCCAGTAGTAATGGTAATAATGTTCAGTAATTATACATGGCTACGAAAAAAAAATGGCAGCAGAATCTTAAACAAAAGGGACTTCAATTAATGATACACCAGACAACTCAAATCTACATGAGTGATATATAAAAATAACTCGTCCAGTAATAGCTCTAAATGTAAAAGAATACCAATATATAAATACAGATTTGTAATGATTGTGAAATGGAATGACGAAGTTTTTTAAGTGTTGAATGACAAATATTTAGTCTATAGTGGTATTGAAGTCCAAAAATGTACGACAGCGAATATGGTTGTGTGTTTGCCGTAGTTAGTGCATGTATATGATAGTAAAAAATTTTTGTCGGAGACGAACCTGGCGAGATTAGCATTTACCAATTGAAATTTTTGCAAGACATTGGCTGTTATGGAACCATTAAGACACTTAAATACAAAAATTTCTAGTTTATATTTGAACAACTTACAGTGTTGGTACACTATATGGATGAAAAAGTGGGGACACACTGGTGAATAGAGTACTGAATGTTAGGATGCGAACGGCTTGGTTTTGGAGACGTTGAAGTGGGAGGATATAATATGGATAGGTGTTCGCCCATGACGTGATGCAGTCCGTAATATGACTATCGATAAAGGCACAGTATAAGCAAAGTTGAAGGATGGTCGTGCTTTAATTAATGTTCTGATACCAGGAGCCTCCGTCTTATAAGTGAAATATGATGATGGTACTTTAGATGAGCATATAGGACTACTCCCAAGAATGTGAACAAAGTGGCTCAAATATATCTGTGGCTGTTGATGGTAATAGTAGGGGTAGGCGAAAGAGCGTTATGATTACAATGGAAGACAATTAACTGTGTTTTATTTGAGTTAATTGTTAAACTAGTAGCTGTGCACCAGTTCTTTAACAGTAATGACGTTCAAGGACTTAAGCTGCGCAGTTATAAGTGCTTTTTATATCTCATTGTTAAGGAACCACTAGCCGGCCATTGTGAGCAGCACGTCATTGCTTCATTTTGGCATTTGTTTTGAAACCTTCACCGTTACACCATGCTAGACAGCTAAGGATGCAAGCTGCTGTAACGATCAATGGCTTTGTCACATACCGTATTTACTCGCATAATTCTTGCACTTTTTTTGCCAGAAAACTGATGCAAAGTTGGGGGGTGCGAGAATTGCGCGGGGAAAACTTTCCACGAAAACGCAGAGAGCGAACAAGAAAACGAAGTAGCCGCAAATTGGGATTCTCACACCAGCAACTTACAGCAAGCTTTAAGAAGTACTAATTAGAGCTTACCTCAACAATAAAAGCAGAGGTTCAACACAAGGCAAGATTTATTTGAGACACAAAAAGTGGAAGCAAATAGCCGAGAATTAGAATACCATACGCGAAGCTTGTGGGCGTTGTGGGCGTAGCGGTAGCGGTCGGCGCTCAACAGGAGCCCTCAAAAGGAAAGCGTAGGACGTCAGTATTGGTCTAATGGCTATTTAACAGAATCGTCCGCAGTTTTCTTTTGAAGAAACAAAGTTTACCATCAATCCCAGTTTTAGGCACACAGTAGGCCCAACGCGTCTTGGTGGCTTTCAGCTGCTGTCACCATTAGCGAACACAAAACGCGTAGGCTAGGAAGGGCCTACCGGCGGCCCTGTTGCCGTTGTTTAGCGCATGATCTATCACTTGCAACTTGAAGCAGCCGTGTGGCTTCAGTATTGCCCATAACGTGCCAAGATTACCGACACAACATACAAAACGCGCCGCAATGCGCACTGGCCACTTCAGCTTGGCTTGGATTGAATCTCGGTGCAATAGTACGCTTGATGCTTAAGAGATGGCGCCAGATAGCGTGCGCTATCATCATCAGTGGCTGGAACGAGCAGACGACATTATTGCGGGAGTTTTCGGGGGTGCGATAATTACCGGAGGGAAAAAAATCGGATTTTTCTTGGGCGATGTGGGGGGTGCGAGAGTTATACGAGTGCGAGGATTATGCGAGTAAATACGGTAGTCTTCATTAACAGTGGCACTTGTATACTACTCTGCTTTACTAAATAGATTCAAATAAAAACAAAAAAATTTGTTAGTGTTTTATTTCATAATTTTGCAGTTGTATATCTGCACATTTGTAGATTTGTAGAAAATGAAATTTCAACTTTCTGTATTTATAGATGTAAACATCTCTTGGAGAGACAGGAAAACTAATATTGTCATGTGGTCATGATGTTGAAGACTCCAGTACTTGGCGGGATTGAGACCAAATTTTTTATTTTGGCGAACCTTTGCCTGAAGAACGGAAAGTCCAACTACAAGCAATAGATAGTCTGCCCCGATAGCAATAAACAGTGTGTCGGCCATCAATAATCTGACAAGCAGTACAGTGCATCTGCTTTTATACAAGTGCTATTAAAAACTCCGGGGTCATTGCTGGTGGCTGCGTAAGCATTAGACTATTCGCATCCTGCCCACAAACTTAACACCGTGATCTGAAGTTATTGTGGAGCTTCAAACACTGCTGCGCCCCCTGTGCCGAGTGTTGCTTAAAGCCATTGTGAGTGAAACCCAACTTGTATCTAAATAAAACACATGTGGCAATATGCATGTACTTCATTATGAGGCTTGTCATTTATATGCTAAATTTATCCCAAGTAAAAAGATATTTTTGTCCACAAAGGCCAAAAGACATCTGAATGCGGTGTGTTGTGCTGCATGCGTTATTGCCATGACAAATATATGTGGCAATTCACATAGCTGAAGTAGCCATATATGTGGACTTCACATTCCCCAAGCATTTCACAATGGCAAGTAATTTTTTCATTTTCAGCACATCTTGTGACAGCCTTAATTAATCATATGTGTAGAATTCTCTGGCAAAAACAATTAACATATTGCAGAGTAAGAGTAAAGAAGATGTGCCATAAACTGATCCTTCTTACTAATGGACGACAAAATTCAGAGCAATTTTCACCAAATACACTAATGTTTTTACTCCCATTTCATGTCACGAATTGGCATGACCTGTAGCCAGGTACGTTTCCTTTTTTCCATTTACATACCTTGAGCCATGTGCAAGGGTGTGTTTTATCAGGGATGGGATATAGCACCAAAAAAAGCACTCGTGATGTTTACAGGTGCGCAATGACATTCACACAAAGAGGTGGTGGGTCATTGGTGGTGACATTACTAGGGGCATGCAAATATTTGAATAATGAATGAAATAGCATTCACTAGTGGAATTGAACGGTACATTAACGAAATGCTGAATATTTTAAAAATTATAAGCCCCTATGGAACAACCCTGAAGCAGCGAGACATGGGATCAGCTGAAGGTTTATTTTCTTCTTGTAATTCCTGAATAACCACAATAAATGCAGCCCAAGTATTTTCAACACTATTGATGCTATAACCATTACCAGATAAAGCATTTTTGCTGCGAGCAGCACTTTTACTCTGTTTTTACTATGGTGGAGCTGCATCACATTATTCATTTCCTGTCTTGATTATTGAAGTTAGCGACTATGGCTGCTCTCAGCTTCACGAATAAAAACACATGCAAGTCTTTTGTTCATGTAAATCGTTTTTACAAATACAGCTTTCAAAACTTGATTTTTACATGCTGTCTGTGCCAGGGTATATGTTGTGATAATTTTGCCTGTTCCAATAAATCTTAGCTGAATGCATGGTGTTTGGTTCAAAATTGTTTAGATTTTATGCTGCAGTTTAACCTAAAAACTGGGAACGGAGTTTCAACTTGAATAATGTAGTTGTGGTATTTCGACATACAGTTGAAAAGTATTTAGAAGGCTCTGGTCGCTGATGTATACAAGCTTATCACAGTTTTCATAATTGTAGTATTTTTTAGTGACAGTTCATGAATACTTATTTCAAATAACTGTTTTTGAGTTTTAGGATTATTTTTAAAAAGGTTTCCTTATTATTTGAAAACTACCAGAAGAGTATTAAGTTCGTGTTCAATGTGGCTATACCGCTATTGTATTCGTATTGAATTCGCTTCTGAAATTCACTACTCGCAAACCCTTTGCTTGTGCTGTCAATGCTTCACCGCTCTACATGCATACATTGCAGTGAAGTAAGCAAAAAAAATGCCAATTAAAGGCTGGTTTTTCATATGCATGACATTCTGTAGATTTCGAAGTGTATTTGGCCTAGAGGGAATATACTGTCACCCGTGTCCATCTCTTAATAGCACGGCCTCTCGCTCCTTATGTGAACGGAATTGCTTCGCGTGTTTATAGAGTGACACTACGAAGATATTCGTTTGCAAGTGTATCGAGACGCTGCTACAGATATTCGTGCTTCTCATTTTGCATCACTATCATAAATCAGCAGTGGTGGCATTCACTACGAGTAGCCAAAGATATGCCAGAGTGAGTGCAAGCTGAGCTTATATTGTGTGGCCGATCGAGTGATGTGCGTGACGTAGGCACGCAAGTGCTCCGACACCGGCTCTTTGAGCTGCAACAAAGGCTTAGCGAGTTATGATTATTGTTATATAGTCCACACATAAACTGTTTACACCTTCATCTTCCATTTTTCTATGCATATCTGCGCCAGATTCGATGCTTTCGGCAGCATCCACACAGGCATGCGTACAGTGTTTCTGTAGCACCAAATACTTGATAGTGCCATCTTGCCATTCATCGTAGGCGGTGTGCCAGTACGCGTGCGAGCGTCAACTTAGTTCTTGCTTTCACCGCAGCGTCTGCATCAGCTGTGCCCATGTCCGACACACCAACTTTGCAGCATAGTCATGGGCGCAGCCATGTTTGCTGACGAAATTACGCACGAACCAATCAGCGCCCAGCTTCCGAGAGCCTCGTGAGGCCGCCTGGCGCAGTGCATTGTAGGGGGGGGGGGGGGGGGTCTATCCGCTCACCTTTTAAAACTCTCTGCCTGGCATCACTTCTACCATTCGCATTAGGTCAGTTGTTAAAATGATTTGTAAGGAGGAGCCGGTGGAATTGCTGGGGACATATCTGCCACTGACATCTTTCACAGAGATGGAAAACTGTAAGCCACTTCCCACCTAAACCATCTCGGTACTCCAGGCCAGCCAAGGCAAGACTGGCCTTGAGTAAGACTGAGCGGTGCATTGGCTTATTTGTACAAAGTGAACTTTGTTGCATATTGTGAATACATATACATTGCACTAAAATAAATCTATTTTGTACTTTGTTTCTTGGACTTCTACATTATTTTTTTGAGGGAGGAGAAGGGAATGACAGGAGGGGGGGTAGACTGAAGCATTTCCTGGTGGGAGGAGCAGTGTAGCAATTCTGCCTATTCTCCCACGGTCCAACCTCTTGTTTCCACACCTTTGATCACCTCAGCTTAGTCAAAACCTAGGAATTCCTGGCTTGCTGCTAGGCTGCTGCTAGAAATAGCTGCAGCCTTGCATTTTCTACTTTTGTTGGTGCCTATTTGTAGCTAATGCCACACTGACTGCATAATGCTACCACTGCCTTGTTGTCTATGCAGCAATCCCCTTGGGTGACTTTCAAAGTGGGCCTGTTTTCTGGGGCCTATATTGTACTCATCATTGCAGTGATCCTTTCAGGTGAGCATTTCTTTTATTCAATCAAAGCCCATTACAGCAAATACTGCTACAACGAAATTTTTGCCACAATGAGTAATTTTCGATTCCCCACCAGCTGTCTATAGAAAACAATGAGACAATGAGTAATTTTCGATTCCCCACCAGCTGTCTATAGAAAACAATGAGAAAAACGTCTCGTCACTACGAATAGTTTTTCTGGGTATTTATGGTTCAACAAAGTTCCTGCAAGTGCTATCACAAAAAGAGAAGGAGCTTGATGAGAATTGCCACGAAAGTCTGCTAGCAACTGGACGATTCCTTATTGCCAGAGCCGTGCAGCCGCATCGCAAGACCTGTGTCATCTTCGAGACATGCTTTATGCCACCACACGCACATTCTGTTAAATTTTTTTGCTATTGAGATGCTTGACAACAGATTGTCGATCGATCATTATGCTGCGATGCTGCCGCCAGATTCCATGCACATGTGGGTCGTGGCAGTATCGTTCTTCAAGAACTCCCACCATGTTTTTGATGGAAGCTCAAAACAAAGCTACTGCTCGTCGTCACTAGCCATGTGATCGTGAATGACAACCGCGGTGTTATGAAGGCGTTCGCACAGCGAGCACGCACCTGGTCCAAGCGTAACTACACTCTGCCACAACTGCTGCGAACACAGAGGTGTTCATGTCAATGTGATCTTAGGCTACCATGAAAGTGCACATGCATCCAACATACGCTCATCGACTAACAGTAAAGCTGCAGACAAAATCGCATTAAATGCGATCACAGCAACGACACAATTTTGAAGGCACATTCATGTCCAAGTGCACACACATCGAAAATGGTACTACAATAAAACCTCGTTAATAATAAGTCATTGAGACCATAAGAAATCTTGTGGGTTTTCAAATTGACAGAACATTAAAATTTACAGAACAATTAAAATTGACAGAACTCTAAAATTTTGTATAACTCACACCCTGAGTTTAGATCCAAATTTTTTAAATATTTTTTGCGTGTTATACACGAAAAAATACTGCTCACTCTGTGCGCTGCCAAATTTGTCTGAGTTAGCGAAAGTACAGTGCAAAAGATAGTGCATGTGCTTGCCAGGACCAAAAGTCGAGTAATAATCATCAGATTTTTCAAACTCTTGTGGTCTTTACAGAAATTTAGCTGGAATGAAATTGTGTGACAGCAAACTTTTTTGTGCATTCCATGAATTTCATTGTAGCAGGATTCGATTGTACATTGTACACTTGGATCTGGAGTGCTGCAAGAAGGCCTTGCAATTGTGTTTGGTACCCTGTAAACATAACTGACAATTAAGGGCGGCAGAAACATCTTCAAACAATAGTCATGAATATGAGATGCAGTGTGTTGCTGGATATAAGGCTACAAAAATAAGAAAATGCCCAAAATGCCTCTATTCCTTAGGCAGCTTTAGAATAGGGTACCCGAAGCCTTAAGTCGGCGAACTCGCTTTTGTGTGGACTCACTCAGGCTCACTCAGACTCAAATCGATGCGCGAGTCTGAGTGAGTCCAGGTGAATAATGCAAACCTGCCAAGTCTCCTGGATTTTGATCATTTCTTTTGTTTGTACAGTTGTCATGAAAATCTTGTGGAGAACATAGTATCTGTGCGTGATCTAGCCGCATTGAGGAAAATTCCGCTCAAACCGATCCAGGCTTTTTGTGAGCCCATCGCATTTTATGTACACAAATTTAGGTGTTCATTTAAACGTACAGTACAATCTCAGTGATGTGAAACCGGCATATACGAATTTGTGAAATTTCCCAGCCAAATGCCAAAATTAGGATGTTCCAAATACTTTTTCTCGTGGTGGTGGGTGATATGAACTTTAGTACGGAAACTGTCGAGTGGAGGCCAAGAACAGTGATACACTCTCGTCTTCTGACAATGCGTGTGGTTGTTTGCCACAACCGCTATAAACAAAGCAGCGGTCACTCTTGACACTATCATGAATTGCAATGACGTAACTGACAGAACTCTGAAAGTGTGCGTTCGTCCAACACTCGACCAGTCAAAGCGACGCTACTTTCCGCAAACTCTGCAGGCAAAGCCACGGCAGCTGCACTTCATAGATAACAAAGAATGACATAGTTTTGAAGGCACGTGTGCAGCCTGCGCACGCATATTGAAAAGGGAACTACTGTTTGCTGCAGCTGCCGCTCACAAAACCGCTAACGTACAAACATACGGCTAACGCTGCGGTAGATTAAAATCAATGAAGATGTAAGAAAGGCTAGAAGTGGAACTATGCAAATGGCAAAATTTTGGGTGCGAATCGAATAGAATATTTTTGGAATGTTGCACGGATATTTTTTTAATCGTTCGAAGTGAAATTGCAGGACAAAAAAAAAGTTGGAGAGGATTCCTAAACATACTGTTATGAGATATAGCAACATGAAATTGTTTCTTTTCGCTAGGCTAATGAAATGCTGGCAGGGTGGTATTTCATAGTTGTCTTATCAAGAATGAGGCAATGCACAGGAGGTATTGTATTAGTACATGATTTGGTGTAACCAAAGTGCAGCCAACAACACTTCACACATGGAAGGCAAAGATGCTATTTTCTCAGCCTCTCCTTCTCTTTCAACTTCTGTGGAAGCCCAACTGATGTGGCATAAGTTAGGAGTTTCAAATCTGCCTCGTAGATGTCAATATACAAGAACATTTGAAATTTTGGTTGCTAAAATTCTTTTGTGTCTGATTTTTCGGACTTCCTGCCTAATTTCAGGCACAAAAACAGCATTGAGTCCTCACCTCTGCCACATTTATGGTCTCCATGTTGTAACCAGTGTTTTCTCCCGTCAATACATTTGCTACTGTCTGCCATATCTATGATCTTGATCTCCATGGTGGAATTAGTGTTTTCTCGCGTCAATACATCTGGTACTGTAGCGGAGTCTGAAAGGCAGCTTTGTTCTAATGTGGGAATGTGATGAGGTGAAGCATACTAAAAAAAAGTTTGAAAGGGTCATTTTTGATTGGACATAGTATTTTTTGTTTTATAAAAGTTCAATTGTAGAAAAAAACTGAGAAGTAACTTTACCGCAACACAGAAACGTATTGAGGTGAAGCATACTACAGTTTTTAAGGGGGTTGTTGTTGATCGGACGTTGGCTGCATCTATCTTTGGGCAGTTCAAATATTAAAAATTCGAGCGCGAATTGAATCAAATAGCTAGCACTATTCGACAAATATTCGAAGTTTCAAATATTCACACACGCCAAGTTAGACGTGTTTTGGCATTCCTGCCCAAAGAATTTAGTAATGTTATTTAGTTAAGTTTATCCACTTTTAATAAAGTTTGTTCATTCATTGACTTGAACGTTCATAATAACAAGACACCACGAGCTGTTCTTCGCAAGGCAACAAATTACAATGTGCACAGCTTAGTCGCATAGAAAGGCATCCTACGTCATTGAGTTAATATAACTCTAGAGGAAAAGCTGGGCCGATAAAACTATAACCACATGAGCAGTGACATGTTGGTACATTGTCATTATTGCTATTACCATAACTTGTAGCACTGAATAAGGTGTTTCAGAACGCCCAAATTTTTTCAATATAGATTATAAACAAGCATGTTTATGTATTATTAATAGGGGTGTGCAAATATTCACAAGTTTCTAGTATTTTGGGAATATTGCATTTGTAATATTCGTATTCAATTCGATAACTGCATATTCGAAATTTTCAAATATTCGATGTAGACGAATATTCGTTTGTAGGCTTGTATGATTATTCGAATGCTTTGAAATTTACATGGATATTAAGGTATTTGAATTCGCTTTGGTTCGAATATAAATTATTGAAAATATCAAAGTATTCGCAAGGAACGAATGAACGCATGTTATTCCGAGTGTATTGCTTGTAAAGGTGGCTTCACTGCAGTGCAGTTATGCTGAACCGTGAAAGCATTTGCTCGAGAGAAATTCGCTCTGCCACGAAGCCCTCCTTCAAATTTAAAGGGGCCCTGCAACTTTTCAAGCATTGTCAGAAAACGTTGCCGATCAGTAGTAGAGGCTACCCGGGACACACAAGTCAAATATTATAGCGCAACACGCAGCGTGCAATTCGCAATAAACTCTGTCAGCAAAAAATTGTTCTCTTCTCTCGGCAAATGACTCCACAAGCTCGGAAAGCATTTGTGACGTAATTTCTTTTCCCATGCCATCCCTCCCTGCTTAGCTTCTAGTGCTTTCGTCGGGATAAGAAGAGAAAGAAAGCACTAGCAGCGTGTGGGAAATTTTTGAACCTCCACGCGTACTGGACGGGCTCTAAAAATATTTGCGGTGGTGAATTTATGAGGCAATAAATAAGCTTCTTTAGTGAATGCATTCCATGGCTACTTGAAAAAGTGTTGCACGGCCCCTTTAAGTGAAAATATTACTCTCAAATCAATTTATTTTATTAAGCTAAACAGCTAGTAATGATGGCTTATATGCTCGAAGTATGATAAATCTTAAAATGTTACATACTTCAAAAGTTGACTCACATCCTGCTGAAAGTAAAATCCTGCTACTACTCAAAGTTCTTTCAACTTCTTTTAAATAAAAAAAATGGGGGAGGGGATTTGCATGGAGGCTTTATTTCATCTTTTTAAAATATTGTGCAGGTTAGTTAGGTTATGATAAATATGCCCATTCTGCTTTATATGTCATATATACTATTCAAATTCGATACAAAATTATTCAACTAAAATCACTATTTGCTTCGAACCTAAAATTCACCATTTGCACAAGCCTATTCGTTCGCATATGTCACTGAAAAACTTATGATTTTGCGCATTTGCCATAAGAGCCTCAGTAGATCATGCAGTGATTACTATGACTTTGGCACAAGTGTGGTGGTGCTTGCACGGGAATTAATGGGAGTGTGATGATGGCTACCAATGAATGTGGCGGCAACTCATCATGACAAATCTACGAATGATAAATATCTCAATCTAAATCATGAACTGCCTGCATGGCAGTACGTGTGGCTTAGCA